TTTTTTTTTTTCTTCAGTAATCTCTACACTCAACATGGGGCTCAAATTCATGACCCCAAGATCAAGAGTCACATGCTCTTCCAACTGAGCCACAGAGGCATCCTCTATTTTGGTTTTCATTTAGTTCAAAATATTTTTTACTTTCTTGAGATTGCTTCTTAGACCCACATGTTATTTAAAAATGTGCTGTTTAATCTTTACCTATTTGGGGATTTTCCAGTTATCTTTCTGTTATTAATTTCTAGTTAATTACTTTGTGGTCTGAGAGCAGACATTGTATGATTTCTGTTCTTTTTAAATTTTGGTTAAGGTGTGCTTTATGGCCCACAATATGATCTGTTATGGTGAATGTCCCATGTGAGAGAAGAATGTGTATTCTGTTTTGGGATGCAGTAGTCTACAGATGTCAGTTATATCCAGGTAATTGATGGGATTGTTCAGTCAACTATGGCATTATTAATTGTCTGCCTGTTGGATCTGTCCATTACTTTTTTTTTTTTTTTTAAGTTTATGTATTATTTACTTTGGGAGAGAGACAGCGGGGCAGAGAGAGAGGGAGAGAGAGAGAATCTCAAGCAGGCTTCACACTGGCAACGCAGAGCCTGACACGGGGCTCAAAATCCTGAAACTGCGAGATCATGACCTGAGCAGAAACCAAGAGTCGGACGCTCAACCAACTAAGTCACCCAGGCGCCCCGGATCTGTCCATTTCTGGTAGAGGAGTAGTGTAGTCTCCAACTTTGATAGGGGATTCATCTATTTCTCCTTGTCATTCTATCAGTTTTTGCCTCATATAGGTTGATGGCAGACACATACAGATTAAGGAATTTTATGTCTTCTTAGCAAACTAACCCGTTTATCATTACATAATGCTTTCTTCATCCCTGGTAATTTTCCTTGCTTTGAGGTCTGCCCTGTCTGAAATTAATACAGGTCTGCCTGCTTTCTTTGGACTAGTGTTAGCGTATTCTGATAACGTATTAGTATATTTTCCTCCATCCATTTACTTTCAACATGTATCTTTTTATTTACAGTGGGTTTTTTATAGACGATCTATAGTTGGGTCTTATTTTTTTTATCCATTCTGACCATCTCTGTCTTATAATTGGAGCATTTAGAAAAAAAACAGACGATCCAAGTGATATTGATACAGAGGGGTTAATATTTACCATATCTGTCACTGTATTCTATTTGTTGTCCTTATTCCTGTATTTGCATTCTAGTCTTTCTGCCTGGAATAACCTATCTCTCTGCTCAGAGTACCCAGCCACTCTGCCTACCTGACTGTCTATGATCAGAGATGCCACTGGTGAAATGAACCTACTAGGTGGGGTGCCATCATCCTGGGAAGTGTTTAAAATCTCCTGATGCCCAGGCCTCACCCCAGATATTTTGTGTAAATTAGGCAGTAGTAGCAGCGAAGCTCACCAGGTATTGGCTGACGCACAGGGAGGTCGAGGCCCCTGACTGGATTAATTAGAAAGCACCTTCAGGAGATAGGTCTAAACAGCATTGCGATTCTACAGGATGGGGATCAAAGGGAATTGGTGCATTCTGTGGAGCCGATGCTAATGTCTACAGTCTTTGGGGCCCAATGACAGTGTTTTATGCAGCTGGTTTCCAGGTCACATCATTTTATTTGCATGGATGGGAGCAGCTTCATTCTGAGGCCTTCTCCAAATTCTGATGTCCCAGTCTAGATTTATTTCTTCTCACCAGAATCTCCACGTCCTCTTTCTTTCTCCGTAAACAGGCTGTCCTCTACCCAAACCAGAGCAGATCTACCCACTGGAGCGGAGCCCAGAGTTATGGACACTGCAGAGAGGCCTCTCCTCTAGCAATTGCCCAGGTGGGTGCCAACAGCTGGCCAGGTGGGTGTCCTGGCAGCTTGTAGACGGCAGAGTAGACTGTCCCTGGAGTTTGTGGAAGTTTTACTGTTGTGGCCTCTCTCAAGGCTTAGGATGCACGGAGCCTTGTAATCTGAGGTCTTTCCACCCGTTCCCGGCACCCCATCACAATGTCCAGCACTCCTGGGGAGGTGTGGGGCCTATTAAGTAAGAAGTTCGGGCTCTTGGCTTTGGTTGCTTGGGCTTAAAAACTAGCTGTGACATGCCACAACCCTGTGGCCACAAGAAAGGTGCGTCATCTCACAGTGCCTTCATGTAAGTTCAGCCACTGTAACCCAGCTGCTCTAACAGGTGTATTCCAGAATCTTGGGGGCTCAGCATATGAAAAGTACTTTTCTCACCGAAGGACTGTGTGGGTCCACCTGTAGCTGTGTGACACATAGTTACTCAGGGACCCAGCTACCTCCTGTCGTCAACATGAGACTTTCGGGTTGTCCTGCCTCCTTCCAGCTAGCAGAGGGGAAATCAGAGAAGAAAGGGAGGTGTCATACCCACTATTTCTCCTCACATTCGATCTGGCTGCACTTCGGTGCCTGGCTCTGGGAAATGAGGCTGAGCTGTGTGTCCATGGAGAGGAGCCAATGGTTTGGTGAGTGTAGTCTGCTCCTGAAAACTGCTAGCAATAATAGTTTCTATATCACTGGATTGTTTGAGGACGTACCAGATTGCATGTGACGCTGGTTCACACTGGCCCTGACCTACAGGGCATGAATGGCTCAGCAAAGGTAAGCTGTTAGTGCTACTTACGTCACAGTATGAGTCCTCGTGAATAATGATAGTAGTTCAAGTTGCCTTCTGAAGTGCAAGGAGACTAGCTGTCCTCTGCGTCTCACCCTTTCCCACCTTCTCCACCATTCTCCAAGGGTCCATTAGACACTCAGAAGCACTCCTGGGCTCCATATCTTAGCACCCCTCCTGTTCGCTTAAGCTTCAAGGTAACACTTCACCAACACTTCACCTCTTCCCCAAATGTGGGCCACTGAGGCCCTCGGGACATCAAGTGTGCTGACTGGTGCCACCGCAGAGCCAGGCTCTCCCCTCTCGTGGTCCCTTGGTCTATTCAGCCCTTCAGAGTCTGTTCCACACCTTCGCCCATGTCCCCGGTCTCACGTCTGCGAATGTGCAAAAGACACTTCAGCTCACCATGCCTGAAGGGGAGCTCTTGATTTTTCCCTCTCCTCCCACCTCCCGTGCAGGTCAGAAGGCTGGGTGCCACTTTAAGTCACTCCTCAACCCTTCCGTCTCCACCAGCCCCCACATCCAGACATCCTGTCCATTTCACGCACGCGTCTCCACTGCCTCCCCTGCTACCCCTGACCTGTCCCCACACACCTAAGTCCAGCCGGTCTTCCTACGTCTGCTGCATGCCTCTGATCTGTGCTGCCTCCCACACTGGCTCCCCCAGCCACTTGGACCTTGTTTTAGACCTTCACTGGCCCCCCCACCCACCAGTGATGTCTCAGCACATTTTCATGGTGAAAGTCGTCTGTGTTCTTCTGTTGCTTGATCTCCAACCCTTATACATGGATAGAAATCTCTGTGTGAACCTCCCCATCCTGCCCCCTCGTGGAGCTCGACCTTAGTTCCTGCACTAAGTCCAGATCACACCTTTTTAGGGCACTTGCTTCTTCACGTATTTTCTGCCTCTTCAACTTTATCTAATCTCTGCTCAACATAAAAATATGCTCGGTTGCCTCACACTTAGGGAAAGTAAATTACAAAGGCTTATGCCTCTCCCGTGTCTGCACACTGGCATCAACTCCACTTTCCCTGTATAACCAATCTTGGAAAAGTTGTCTCATTCTTTTTTTTTTTTTTTAAATGTGTATTCATTTTTTGAGAGAGAGAGAGAGAAAGAGAGAGACAGAGCACGAGCGGGGGAAGGGGCAGAGAGAGAGGGAGACACAGAGTCTGAAGCAGATTCCAGGCTCTGAGCTGTCAGCACAGAGCCTGACATGGGGCTCGAACCCATGAACAGTGAGATTGTGACCTGAGCCAAAGTCGGATGCTTAACCAACTGAGCCACCCAGGTGCCCCAAAGTTGTCTCATTCTTGCGAGAGATGTCTACATTTTTGTTTCATACCTCCCATTAATGATTATTTTCTTGAACTTTTTGAATGAGATATAACTCATAAGCTGTGTTGCTTAAAAGCCTTAAGAGGTCAGCTTGACGAATCTTTGTATACGTATAAACCCACATCACCACCGTTACGCTAATATATACCACAGTGCCCCTGATCTGTGGTTTCGCTTTCTGCGGTTTCAGTTACCCGTGGGCAACCACGGTCCAAAAGCAGGTGATGGTCCTTCTGATATATCAGTAGAAGGTCAATAGTAGCCTAATGCTGTGTCACACGCCTGCGTCATTCACCTCCCTTCGTCTCCTCATGTGGGCGTTTTATCATCTCACAGCACCACAAGAAGGGTGAGTGGCGTACAATAAGATATTTTCGGATAGAGACCACATTCGTGTAACTTTTATTCCAGCGTTTGTTAAAATTGTTCTATTTTATTATTAGTTTTTTTGTTAATCTCTTATGTGCCAAATGTATAAATTAAACTTTAGGTATGTATGTACAGGGACAAAACATAGTATATACAGGATTGATACTACCCATCATTTCAGGGACCCACGGGGGGTCTTGGTACGAATCCCCCGCAGATAAGGGGGGCCAATGTAGAATATCTCCAGCACCTTATCAGGGTCTCATGCCCTCGACAGCCCCTTCCGTGAGGTAGCCCCTGTTTAGACCATCAGCATAGATTTGAGTGTTGAACCCACTGTGTGCTGTCGGTATATCTATCTCTTGATCATCATTATGTCTGTGAGATTCTTTTCATGTGGTTGCATATAGTTGGAGTTTTTCACAGTCGACACAGTGTGATGTCTCATTGTGTGAAAAACTGCCCTTTATCCCTTCCCCTCTTGACAGGCATTGCTGTTGTTTTCAACTTCCTGCTGCCGAGGATATTCTTGTCATGTGTTTCGGTGCCAAGAGGCACTGATTTCTGTGAGGAACGGACTCTGGTATGTTTCTGGGTCAGGTTGGCTCAATTGGAAACTGCCAGGCAGTTCTGCAGAATGGTGCCCCCTTTCACATTCCCGCCATTTGCGTATGAAAGTGCCAACATTGTCCTCTTCGCTCTTTGAGGCCCCGTGGGGGGTTCCTCTGAACCACAGCACGGGAAAATGTTCCTTAGGAAAATATTCCTTACACGGTCACTGCTTTGCTCCCAGTTTCCAAATATGGCAGCGACCATCGACCATCAGGATAATGGGTAACGGCCCGCAGTTTACTGAACGCCCCGCAGGGGCCGGCATTGTGCCCGGCGTTTCACAGGTCTTGTCTCAATTCAGCCTTCAGGGCGGCCTTTGAGGCAGAAGCTGAGCCTGTCAGTGCTTTAGACGAGATTGAGATGGGAGCAGCTAAGTAACTTGTGCCATATCTGCTCACTTGGTGCAGGCAGGACGTGAGCCAGGATGTGGGCCAGGCGTTCTGGCTCCAGAGCAGACACTTAAACTCCATGCTGTGTGAGCTTGTTGTGTGGCACGCTTTTCTGATTGTGTCGTGGGCATCCGGCCTTCTTGGGGTCTCTGCCCCTGATCTCCCGGGACCTATCTTGTCTCCTTACTCTGGTGGCCTCTTTAATGTTGGCTCATTACGCCTCTCTTGGACCATGCTCCCCGCACTCCCAAGTGGGGAAGGGACAGAGAGAGAGGGGGACAGAGATCTAAAGCAGGCTCTGTGCTGATAGCAGAGGGCCCAGTGCAGGGCTCGAACTCACAAACAAGATCATGACCTGGGCCCAAGTCAGACACTTAACTGACTGAGCCACCCAGGTGACCCATGGACCGTTCTTTTTATTCTTCAATACCCTCCAGGGTTAATATGTACATTCTTACACTGTCAGTTTACATACTTCCTAATTAGGTCCCAGATGTATGTTATGGGACTAACCCATGATAAACAATTAGAGCTAATGGGGGTTACGTTTTGCTCAGTGTCTGGCACCAGACTGAACATGGTCCACATAGCAAACATGGCAAATGCAGGATTTCACTCCATCCTCATGGAGTCCTACAGTCCAGGCTCTTTTTTTAGCTTTATTCTTGAGAAGACAAAATGAGGGCTGAAGGAATTTGAGTGCCGTGGGAGGTACCACGGAGCTAATACTGCGTTCCTGTGGGGCTTGGGCCTAGGGTTTCTGTGGTCCAAGACCATGATCTTTTTTTTTTTTTTTT